GCCTCTTCCTTGATCTCATCCCTAGGAACGATATCTACAAGGAAATCGAAGATATCTGTCCTCGTAATCGCGGCGGCGATGTCGTTTTTCTGAAGCGTGCGGCGTTTATTCTCCTCGGCGTGAAGCCAGGATCGGATCGTGAGCTCGAGGATGAAGAGCTCGCAGGCCTTGGCGAAGAGGATCGGTGCTTCGGCGGAGATCATACGCACATCCTCGTCGGCTTTCATGATCTTCTTGATCCTGGCGAGAGGGAGCTGGTGGTTTTTGAAATCGTTCACCTGCTCGATCTCTTTTCGTTGGTATGACCAGAACATTTGGAGCTGTTGCTGTTGTTGCTGGAGAAGGTGGTGGTATGAGGCTCCTCCGGCGGCGGATACGGAGGATCCAGGAGGAGTAGGAGGGATTCCGGCGACGGAGGGAGGCGGTTGATGGTTGTGGTTGTCCATTGGGTGTTGGGAATGGTCGGTTTGGATTTGATGTTTGTGATTGGACCAAAGGGTGAAAGGTATTGATTGGGGGCATAAGTGGATAAGGTGGATAGCGATGTAGCTGATTTTTCATTTTTTATTTCTTCTTTATTATCTTTCAAAAACAAAATTGTTGAAAAATATTGTTTTTTTTGCCTACTCTCATTATTTAATTACGTTTACTATATACTGTATGAAAAATAAATAATGAATTTGAATGTAATATTTTTAATTTTTTAACATTCTAAATTATTATAACTTATAAATTACTAAATGAATGAATTTAAAGGTTTATAATTTGAAATGCTTTAAATAAATAAAAACATCCACTTAAAAATTACATAGTTTTATATTATTTAAATTTCTTAATTTTTGTTTCTTGACGAGGTCAGAACTCAGAAGTAGAACTATTACAATTTCTTTTTTTTTTCTTTTAATTTTGTTAAATATATTTAACTTTTAATTTGCTAAGATTTGATATTTAAAAGTTTGGTATTTAAATGGTATTTTTTCATTCTTCTACTAACTGATAATTTTTTTTTGTTTGTTTAATGTTATCGGAAAACTAAATTATAATTTAAAGTTATATAAAGGGCTTTTTTGATCAATAACCATATTTGCATAATAATAAAAGAATATAGCTATGCTATTTGACAAATTAGTAAACTAACTATGGCCCACAATCAATTATCCAAAATAATTTTGTACTATATTATACTATATACTATACTATATATAATTTTATGGAATAGTCCTCTCTTTGATATAGTATATACAGAAAAATAGAGAAAAAGAGAGAAATTTCACAAGAGAGGAGGGGAGAAAAGGAAAGGGGAGGCAAGGAGAGGGAAAGAGAGAAGGAGAGATGAGATGAGCGGAGGTGAACAGAGGAAAGAAAAGGAAAAATGATTAGAAGAGAAGAGAAGATCGTAAAGGAAAGAAATTAAGACAAAAATAAAAAGGGTAATTTTGTATATATTGTAGAATATATAAGGAATATTATAGCACCTACTTTACTATAGTTATTTCATGAATTTAGCTTAGAAATATCATCATATGACCCAATTTCTCTTATATAAATTGGTTAATATTAAACTTGTAAGCTAAAAATCTCATAGGATATTTCATTTTTTTATCCGATATTTGTTTTTCTTTTTGTCTGATCTGATATTTTATTTTCCTATCTCACTTCTATATACTGTTCGCCTTTTTTTATTTTATTTTATTTTATTTTACTATCAGTCAATAAACAGTTAGAACAGCAACTACAAAAAAAATGATGGGAGAGATGATATGCCATGAAATTTGGTTTAAACCAGTTAATGTATAGAAAATAGGCATTAGTTATAAAAAATTGGCATTTTCTAAACAATTAGTTTGAAATATTTTTAATCTTGAAATAATAGTTAAGTTACAATATGAAGGCGTTTAGCTTTGCAACTGGTAGCTGCGGTGATTACCGGCGGAGAAATTTGCTGGGTGAGATAACAAGAGAAGTTTTCTCTCTAATGTATCATGCAGATTAATGGGCTCTTCAAGTAGCTTCTGCTTGAGTCAATATGGTTTACAGATGCTAAATATTATTTCTACTATTTTTAAAGTATTTCAGACATATTGTTCGTTTGTAATGGATACAAATTAATGATTGATGACACAATTATTTTTATAATGAATATAGTTTTCAATTTTTTTATATAAAACTATTACGAATAATCTAGCAAGTTGGATGATTAGCAATAATATAAATTTTTATTAACTTTGAATGATACATAGAGGATACATTTGTGGAATACATGGTGTTATGCAGAACTAAACTGAATGAAATACAAAATCGAAACCTTAATCCCAAACATAAAAAGATTTAACAAAGTTTAACCTAGCAATTAACCTCAATACAAATCAACCAACAATTCTTTCCACAGATAATTACCGCAGATATCCCCGACCAACCAACGATAAACAACATCCTCCTAAAAGTCTACCTTTTGATTCTAAAAATCAAAATTTCATACCTGGCAAGACAGAAACACGAGGTCTCCCGAGAACGGTGGAGTCGATGTCTCAATGAGCACGACTAATACACACCTAGACAGAAACTTGTTAAGATATCTCGATCAGATCTGTAAGGTAGCGCCCTGGAGCAAAAGATCCAACCCGGGTAGCACCGGAGAGGCAAACCAAGAATTGCTCTTTTTTTTCTCTCATTTCTCTCTGCAGTTAGGGCGAACTCGTGATGGCATTTCCCTTCTCCCTCTCAGCTTATATTTCCTTTTTCTCTCTCGATCGATAAACCCTATTTCAATTTCTTAAGCTATTTAAGCCAAATAATATATAAACGACACTGGCACAAGTTCCACAAAAAGAAAAAGTTTGTTTTTCGAAATTATTAAGTGAAAAGATCTTTAAATTTTGACATAATAGTTGAATTGCAATGTAAAGGCTGATGGTGGCTGCAGCGATTACTAGTAGATAAATTTGCTGGGTTAGATAACAATATAAGCTTTCTCTCTACTGTATCATGCAGATCAATGAGCTCTTCCAGTAACTTTTGCTTGCGTCAATGTTGTTAATAGATAGTATATATTATTTTTACTATTTTCTAAAATATTTCAGACATATTATTCGTTTGTAATGGATACAAAATAATGATTGACAATATAAATATTTTTATGATAAATATAGTTTTTATTTTTTTTAAAAAATTATTATGAACAAATCAAGCAAATTGGATGATTAGCAATAATATAGATGTTTATGTTATTTTATTTTTATTAAAAGACAATTTTTATTATCGAAAATGTTATTTTTAGACTTTTTAATTATTATAATTAGAAGTGTTGATTAATTAATTCATATAAACCAAATGGAAAAGAAAACATTATTACGAACAACCTAGCAAGTTGGATGATTAGCAATAATATTAATTTTGTATTATTTTATTTTTGTTAAAAGGAAATTTTTATTATTAAAAATGTTTTTTTAACCTTTTTAATTATTATAATTAAAAACGTTGATCAATTCATTCATATGTTTAATGGAAAATAATTTTTTTTTTATGACGGCACATCTCTATTTATTTTCATTCAAAAACGTTACATAAAACTTGGAACGACAATAATGTTATAAAATTTAAGTTGAAAAAAAAAAAAAAATAATAACGTTATTAAAAACTTGGGACGCAAGACTGACTCTCTTACTCCCATTATTTTCTTTTTCTCTAAGATTCGCAGCTACTTCCTTTTTCTTTTTCCCTCTCAGCTTATATTTACTTTTTCTCTCTCTATCGATAAACCCTAATTCATTTTTTCTCTGTCGAGTTCCTAAAGCATTCAGTGAAAAAAGAAACAAAAAAAATAGAATAGAGATGTGTCGTGAAATTTGGGGTTGGAATCGAAAAGAACTTTATCACATGTTTGATTGTGTGAAGCATTACCGTTTCATAGCGGTAGACACAGAGTTTCCTGGCTCGTCGAGGCAAACTTGCAAAGATGCTTCAGAAGAAGAACGATACGACGATATCAAGTTTAGCGTCGACAAAACCAAATTGATCCAATTAGGGTTTACCTTCTTCGACGGCGAAGGAAGAATCGGCGGCACCTGGGAGGTCAATTTCTCCGACTTCTCTGAAATCGACGATGCCCGAAACGAGAAATCCATCGAATTCCTTAAGCGGAACGGCCTCGATCTGGGTAGGATCCGAGAAGAAGGAATCGGCCTTGACGATTTTTTCACCGAGTTTCGTCAGATTCTGAGCCGGACGACGGATGTGACTTGGGTCACGTTTCACGGGTACTCGGATATGGCTTACTTACTCAAATACATCACCAGCGAGTTTTTACCGGCGACTTCAGAGCGATTCGCGAAAGCCGTGGCCAGAGTCTTTGGTTCCGTTTATGATCTGAAGGTGATCGCGGCTCGGCATTTAGGTCTAACTAGCCGAGTGGGTCTGGAGAGTCTAGCCCAGGAACTGCGTCTTGACCGTGTCGGGTCTGCACACCACGCTGGTTCAGACAGCGAACTAACAGCTAGGGTTTTTCCTAAGATGGTTCAGATCGGCCATAACGTGCAAGAATCGCAAGGGTTGGTCTATGGACTCGGCTATAGAATTGTCTCGGATGGTTCAAGGAAAGAGTTTGTGATGATGCATCAGATACATATTCCCCGTGTGATGGTGACAAGATGCTATGGATTGCCGCCGCCGCCGTTTCTGCCACCGCCGCCACACCTAAGGCCGATGTTTGCTGATGGTTTTCAGCCTTTTGGTGGCTTTGTCTATGTGCCGAGAGTAGCCATGTATTAACTCTTTATGAGGACAAGTAGTAAATGTAAAGGTGTGTGTTAACAATTCTTTGATATCGTGAATGTAATTCCAGTATAGATTCTTGTATTAATGTCCGATTGTAATGAAAAGTTTAGTATGTCTTGTGTTTCATCCATATACTTTCTTCTTCCGTCTTTTGTTTAATCCATGTACTTTTTTCTTTTTTCTTCTGTTTAATCAATATACTTTCTTCTTCTTTCTTGACAAGTTTCCCAAAATGAAGATTAATTACTTTGTAACAAATAGACTCTGTTCTGACGCATCAACAAGACAAGTTGAAACTCTTGTTCTCTTTCACTGATTCAATATTTTGCCAAAAAATGGCTCAAAAAGATACAAGAAGAGGGCTTTTCGATTCCTTATTTTGCCAAATGGTACATTGTATACTCTTTTTTCGCTATGGAGGCATCTACATATACTGTACAAGGGAGGAGCAAAAATGAATACCTCACAGGTTTGGTCCCAATGTGATCAGTGAAAGACTATGTAAAACTTGCAAATCCTCCTTCCTTATCTACGTTTGTAACTTGTAAGATTACTTCAGTTACGGGCCAGTTGTTTGCTGTTGCTGCACGGTTATGTCCTCTTATTCTCGTCCTGTTCAGCTAAAGATAAAGTAAAGGATGTGTTTTCTATCAATTAACATAAGAACAAGACATGCTTTTAGGAGACTGAATCTGTAAGCCAGGTAGGGTCATGTTGTCTTCTTCAGTGACATAGAGTAACCTGAAATGCGGAGAGTAAGAAAAAAATTGATGTGTTAATCATGAGAAAAAAGAACCAAGAATTTCATTAGTTCAAGCTTTACAGTCCTTCAAAGTAAGAGAAAAAAGACTATTATCAAACTACAATTGCAACCAGGGAAACGTATATGCAAAGGACTGGGTAGAACCATGCCATGTTCTACCTTTAAGCTTTCATATGTTTTCTTTCAACAGAAAAAAGAATAGTCAGGGTACATGGTTACTCGCAACACAAAGAATCCAAAGATGATATGCTTACTCCCATTGATATCTGCTCTTCTCCACCTTTTGTATCAAATCTACTTCTCGTAACGGGAGTGTTGTATCATATACCTGAAACAGCACGAGCATGTTCATAATCAAAGGCCAAAAACAGCTTTTACATCAAGTGAGAAACTTGCATGTCATCCTTAATACATCAGCTGCCACATTTAGACCAACATTGCCACATTTAGATAAACTTTTACATAATAGTTGTTTGTTCAACTTAATCAATCTCTTTGCCTTATCATTATCACCTGAAAACCGGATTAGATCATTGTTATGGCATATCCTCCAAGACTACTCAGAGAAGTATCATGTGGGTAACACAAATATTCCTTATCAGTTTCATTCTCTCTTTCATGTAATTAATTAGTAAGACAAACAAAAACCCATGGAATGCTATGTAAAAACCAATCAGCAAAACTCATCACAGAGAAACAAGAATTCACCAATAAGCTTGATGCCATCCATACTTATCAGATCTTCCATTATACAGTTCACTAGGCTCAGCTGCTTTGATCGCCGGCTCTGCTTTGCGCTTCAGCTGCCGATAAACCCATATATTTGACAGACGAATCACAGAGAGTTACAATTAGCACCATAGTCTCACTTCGCTGAATCAAATCAAAGTGTAAATTCCAAAAACAATCAAGGTATGAAACATCTAGTTATCTAAGTCTCACTTCGCCGAATCACAGAGACTTACAATTAGCAAACTTTGCTATATCATCAACTAAGTCATGAGCCTGGCCTGAGAGAGTCTATTTTTGACATTTACCTCCTCAAGAGTGGTTCCAGCTGGTGGTGACTTGACGGCTATCATTTTTCCGAGTTCCAGCATAGGAACAAGTGATATGTATGATCCAATCAATTTTTCTTGGTTTAGTGAAAATGTATTCAAAAGAGTTACTTGAAGGAGATTAAACCTGTGAGTCAGGTAGGATCATGATGTTTTCTTCAGTGACATTCAGAAACCTGAAATGCCAAGATTAAGAATAAATAGCTGTATCAATCATGAGAAGCTTGCATTTGATTAGTTTAATCCGCTATGAAGATTTTCACTCCTCCTTTCGATTCTTAGCAACACCATCCATCAGCAGGTTACATATACACTATACAGCAGAGAAGGGAAGTAATATGATCCATGGGCATACCTAAGCCTCCTCAATTCTAGACTTTTGTATGTATTCTTCATATATGAACAAAAAGCTATGATTGTCACACCAAGACTGCAACCAAGGAAATGTATATGCAATAGACATGTTCTACCTTTAGGCTTTCGAATGTTTCCGTTGATGTCAACGATCGAGTCTCCTAGAACAGACAAAAGAATAATCAAGGTATGTGATATTTGAGTTCAGATGATATGCTTACTCCCATTCATAGCTGCTCTTCTCCACCTCGTAACGGGAGCGTTGTATCATGTACCTGAAACAGCACGAGCATGTTCACACTCAAGGGCTAAAACGAAACTTTTACATCAAGTGAGCAGCTTGCTCAGCTTACTGTCCTCATCTGCTTGTTTGTTCACATCAATCAACTTCTTTGCCTTATCACCTGAAAACCGGATTAGATCATTGTTATGCCATATTTTCCAAAACTAAGTATCATGTGGGTAACACAAACATTCCTTAGCAGCATTAGCACAAGTTTCATTCTCTCTTTCATGTAATTAGTAAGACAAACAAAAACCCATGGAATGCTTTTGTAAAACCACAATCAGCAAAACTCATCACAAAGAAACAAAAATTCACCTGCATTACAACCATAAGCTTTATACACTCCACATCTATCAGATCTTCTTGTATACAATTCAATAGGCTCAGACTCTTTGATCGCCGGCTCGGCCTTACGCTTCAGCTTCCAATAGAATTTCAGAAAAACCCCCAAATATTTGACAATCGAATCTCAGAGGCTTACAATGAGCATTGATTCATCGTAATCTCACATCGCTGACTCTAATCAAAGTTTAAATTTCATCAGTCTGATACCCAATTGATAGGTCACGAAACCTATCAAAATAGAAGTAAGAGATGAGATGAGAAAAGAATAGAAAAAGGATAGAGAAGAAGAGAATATAGAGATAGGAGATTGATTAATTGTTTGATCTTATTGAGATGAAGAACTCTAAAAAATAGGATCAAGGTTTTTAGATACACTCGCAGCAACAGTAAACGGCAATACATAAAGAGAATTATTAAATACTGAAACCCTCCTTCTCACAAGGAGTCTTCCCCTGCTTTCCTACTTCGTCTCTTTAACCACTTTCTTTAATTCTCTTTCCCTCCCACGCACGAGTTCTTCTTCCCTTAGTCCTCCTCTTCTTCTTCACGAAAGCTAAGGGAAACTTGAGCCTATCAATACTCCCCTCTAAAGAAGCAACCTTGTCCTCAAGGTTAAGGTTTGGAAACTGACTTTGAGGTTCCCCTTTATTAGTCCCGCCTATGTCATGAAGGGTAATTTCCCTTAAATTACTCTTTGACAGACTCATTCCTTCCATGCTAGAGAACTTAACAGCCCGCACCATTATCATCGAAAAAGGTTGAAGTATGGAGATCCCAAGAGTAAACACAGTGCTATGTTGAGGTTTCTGCTGATAAGGTGCAGCTTGAAGCGACTCATCAAGTAGTAAATTCTTCAAGGGAGTTTGACACTCATCAGATTCAACTGAACCCGTGAACTCCTCTCCACCAATGGAGATGGCCTGGTTATATTTGCTCTTAATACTAGCATCGCCAGTCTTACCAACATCAACCATTCCTTGAGTTATTTTAGTGACTACCCAACATAAGAGATGCAAACCTGATTTGAAGACATGGTAGAAGGCAAATCTAATTATTAATAATTTAAATAAATTAAAACATACAAAAATATAAAATTAGCATAGTCGAATGGAAAATTAAGATAAAAAAATTTATCTAACAAAACAGATAAAATAAAATTATGTCAAAAATCTAAATCTATAATGTTTTTCAAGATAAAATGAAAACCCATTGTCATACTACAAAAACAAATACATAAATTAATAAAAACAATTAATTTATTTTAAAAAAAAAGAAAACAATTTAGCATATATTTTGAATGGGTAATTTATTGAAAAAAATATTAAGATTAAAATTGTATATAAACATATAAAACTGTTTTTTAAATATCAGTACAATAAAAAAATTATGTTAAATTAACAAAAGAAAAGGTCATCTAAAACTTGATATTTAGTGTAATTAGATAGAAAATTAACACAAAAAGTTAACTAACGAAAAATGATACCTTGTACTAATTACTGAAGAAATCAATATAAAAAAATGTTTAACTATAAAAACAAAACATAAACTATTTCTTGCAACATGTTAATACAATTAAAATAGAAGTCCATATCAAGATAGTTAAATTAACAAAAAAGGACTATAACTTGATATCTATGTTATTTATTCAACAAAATCAATGTAAACAGAATAGGTAAGAGAATAAAAAACATAAGTAATACTGAAAAATTAACTAAAAAATATATAAATTTATAAGCTAACTATTTAAGAAACCAATATTAAGAAATTAATCAACGAAAAACTAAAATGAAAATTAAGTTTTGCAAAATGTTAAATTTTTTAAAACACACTTAAGAATATATTGACTTGATATCTGACTAACTACTTAAAACTCCATATAAAAATATTTAACTAACAAAAAATGAATAAAAATGAAATTATGTCTTCAGAATATCAATATTTTCAAAACAATTATGTGTTACAACTAAATAGAAATCAATATTAAGAGAGTTAAATTATCAAAGGAAACACACCAAAGATTTAAAAAAAAAACAGTGATAATGTGAAGTCTCCACACCATCTTACATGTTTAAAAACAAAAATTGCCAAATAGATGAATGCAAATAAAACAAATCTTATAAACTGAATAGAGATATAACCTAAAATTCGTAGAAGATCTGGTGGAGAAGCAAAAAGCAGTTTTACACGATTAGTATAGCTTATTAACAAAAGTAAATCCGAATTAACATATATCGTATTTTATATATATATAGGTACACAACATCAGTGAGACATTTAGTAAAAAAAAATATTTATACATATAAACCTTTTTAAAAAACTATAGAAATCCTAAGGACACAAAACAAAATACCAAAAATCTAGTGAGGAAATCATTTTCTAAATCAAAGGTATGCACGTTGAAGTTGGATAATTTGTTTGGTTTCATTATTATGATTTTACTTAATAAGATTTATAATTTTATAAACAAAAAAACAAGAAAACTACATATTATGTTTTAATTTTTTATATAAAAGAAAATTTTTATAAATGTATTATAGTTAGCCCAAAAAATTAAACCAGATTATTAATAAAGACTCGCGCATAGCACGAATTAAATGCCAAGTCTATACTAAATAAAATGGACTATTTAGGACTCCAGAAGGTGTTTACATCAGCCAAAAAAAATCTCTGCCAGAATGCTACGTGTCATCAGTTTCTAAAGCATTTTAAAAAAACCTACTAAAAAAAGAAGAATGAACAAGTTAAAAATTAGTGACGTATATTAATTGAACACATTTGTACAGCCCATTAGATAATTAACTCATACTAAAGCAAAAATTTCATACAGTAGAAACTCTATAAATTAATATTCGATTAATTAATAAACTCGATAAGCTAATAATTTAGCTCAGTTTTGAATTGGGCCGGTTCAAAAATTAATACAAATCAATAAATTAATAAGATAATAATTTTTTTTTGAAAACCTATGTAAAATATAGTCCCATTAATATTATAAATTAATGAATATTATATAAAATAGTTTTATATAAATATATAATTATGATAATCTATTAAATATGATTATATTGTTGTTTTCATATTAAAATTGAAAGTTTTTTTTATTATGTATTTATAATTAGGGAATTGACTGGTATAGCCATATAAATGCCTATAATTTGGAAAATAATCATACCAATATATGGGCTATTATATTCCTTATATATTCTACAATATATATTGAAAACCCCTTTGTTTAAAATGGAGTAAAAACTATTTGCTGACGTTAGCAGTGAAAAGGTAAAGATAAAATTTAACATATTATTAAGGTAATAGAAAAACTCAGCCACTATAACTTATTTTCTTATTTGAATATATAGTATATCTCTAATAACATACGGTTTACTACTGGACTATACCATAGTATATGTTCACTATACAACAACACTACTATAATATAGTACGAGAGTTTCCGGTTATATATCATTTCACTGATCATTATATTTTAAATTAAAAATAGTATAGTATTGCAGTTACAATTAGACTACTAGATTGCACATTTTCAAATAGTATAGAACTCACTAGTTATAGTATAGATGTGATGGTATAGGTTTTAGACTAAAAAAATTGACTACCTTATACAACAATGACGTCAAAAAAAAATATCGCAGTATATGTTTTGCTTAAAATCGAAAGAGTGTATTGTAATTTCTATGTGGGCCATGATTATTTTTCAAATATTTTGAATAAGATAGTTATATTCTTGGATTGTTTTCCCAATATAGTTATTAAGCAAAAAAACCCTTTATTTATGATAATTTTTTTGAAAAAATTTAAAGAAAATATTATTTTTAATAAATTTTTAATAAACAATTTATTTTGTCCAAACTGATAAATTAATAACTCTATAAATTAATAAAATATTAAAGTACCAACATTATTAATTTATAGAGTTTCTACTGTACTTACAAATCGAAGTCAGGCCCAATAAACTAATGAAAAGCCCACTTGAGAAATAACTTGTCACATCACTTATAAAAAATAACTGATTCCTAAATGTATCTAAAACATTATTTTTATTTTAAAAAAAATAATATTTAGTCTAGAAAAACAATGTCTCTTCTCCTACTACTCACACGAAACGTTCAACTTCAAAACAATGTATAAATTTTAAATCATAAACTCATCGTCTCCCACATGGCTATAATCTCTTCGGTTTCAAGCTCCTATCATCTCTCAATCTCTCATTTTTAGCATCCATCAAATAACTTAATTGTAGATTGATTCAGCTTCATTATTCCTATTTCAGTTCTAAATATGATATTCACATCCAAAATCTACGAAGATGATGATATCCGGTGGATCATTAGTAAGATATCGCTTTTCTCCTTCTTCTCTTTCTCTTCAATCTACAAGTTCTATGAGATTTGCGTCTAACCCATGGGCCATGTATTCAATTGCTGTTTTTTTTTCTCCTTGCAGGATGATGAACATAAACTATTTGCACCAATCTGACTTATTTCTTCTCTTTCATCATGCTTTTATTTAGATAATGTTGTAACATCATGATTATTTTTGTAAATTTTCAGGGCTTGAAACAATTACTCGACTTTCAAACTTAACATGTAGTTCACAATTTCGGAGGAGTTACTATGGCCAATGTTACAATACTAATTAGGTGCTTATAACATATAATAATACTTATGGTTATTGCAATTTTTCTGTCTGAGGGTCTCTGCATTAACAGTAGATATTCAGTTTTCAAACCCGGTTTTAGAAGAATAATTTAGTCGATTGCTAAAAAAAATCAAGAGACACCTATTGTATTATGCTAATAAGGTTACAAATCTCATAATAGATATGTAAACTTTCTACTTCCATCTTTTTGTACGTAGGACACTCCTCTAAGATTTCTCGACGTGGGAAAAGTTTGGAAAAAGTTCAAGTCGAAAAGATAACGTACTGAATATGAGCTTTTCGCAACAAAATAAATAACAGCAACGCTAAGATTTTTCTCCAATCCCTAGCTGAATAATCATAGGTCTTCACTCGGTAATGATAAATTAGAATCCTCTTCTCATCTACCGATTATTCATCCTCCCTATATGATGACATGGTTTATATTCAACTTTTCAGGCACATGAATGTTTCTTCTTTTGGGATTACAGAAACGATCAAACGATGTGGAGATGTTATATATCTATGCCCAGCTGATCCCTAAGCAACTAACTCCGTTATGTTTGGAGTAGTTAGCAGTTTTAAATCTGACATTATTAACTTACATTTGATGTAAGCTAATAAAGGAGTCGGAGTATACAAGCACAAACAGAACACCGAGAATTTTGATTGACCATTATGATTATGAAATTATACGTGCTATACAATTTAAAATATCATGTTTTAAAGTTTACCAAAAAAATGCATAAATAAATTATGTTTTACCTCTGTTTTTAATACACATATAATTTTCATATCTAAATTTCTTAAGATATGTTGATCCTTTCGACATACAACACATTGTTAGAGTCTAAGTTTGTAAAGATTATTTGAGATTACTTTTTTGTTTTAAAACATTTTGTATTACACGACTATGAACTTAAAGACAAACATAAAATAATCAAAATTAAAAATTTGACTTCATTTTCGTATTGATATTTTCCCAGTAAATCAAAATTATTCGTTGTCTTCACAGACTTGGCGGATAGATGGGAATTTGGAACAAAAAAAGGATTAAAGACAATACAGCCATGAGTAGAGTTGAAGAGGCTAATTATTATCTATTTTTTCCTTCATTTTTCCAATATGCACCAATGATAGGAGAAACAGAGAGCATTAAAACATTAAATGTACAAGATTCAACCACCAAAATCGAAATCATAATATTTTTCATTGTCAATCATCTGTAGTCAATAATCTTTGAATTTAAAGTTCAAAAAAGAAAAAAAAAACTATGCACTTGAAATTATTAAATGTATCTAATCTAAATATTCAATACATT